TATTATTATTATTATTATTGTTATTATTATTATTATTATTATTATTATTATTATTATTATTGTCATGATGGTTATTATTATTATTATATTGTAGCCAGTCACAGCAGGGAAGCTCTATACCATCAACATCTACCAGGACAGGAGATGAGGAAGAGTTCAGGGAAGACACAGAGACAGAAAAAGACCAGCATGAGGGAGAACAACAGGATGAGGGAGAGCAGATGGGTGAGGGAAAACAGGGAGATGAGCCAGATGAAAGAAGAAGAAAGATTAGTCTGTTTTGTTGGTGGTGTGACTTTTTTCCATTGAAAACTCACGTTTAGAGAATGTTACTAATAAAAGTCAAATTTTATTTAACATGTGTGTGTATTTTTTTTATAATTAAGTGTTCCACGTGCGCTAAAAAGTGCCCTCCTCCCCCTCCTGAGCACCTGCCCCCCAAAATGTCTGTGCACGCCCCTGAAGAATGGGAACAAATCATTGACAGACAATGCTGCCTTTTTTGCTCCATCAGAGCGCTTATGCTATGACTGCCTTCTCAAGCTTTTTCAGGCGAGGTCTATCTAAAATTTTGTCCAATCTTAAGCTGTTCCTGCGGGTTGAGGTTGCTTCTTATAGCGAGAGCTGCTGTACCCCTCCTGTTAAAGTGATGGAACTGCTGCCTGACCGTGTACGGAGGGGAAGATTCAGTTTCTGTATTTTCCAGTCTCCACCTGTAGTGCAGCCAGCCTTATTTATAGCAGCTTGATAAACTTCAGAGATACTGCATCAGTGGCATAACCAGTTAGAAGGAATGGCTGGTGGCGGTACTCCCAATACTGCAGTAGATAATTGAAAGAAAGTAATAATAGGAAAAGATTTTATGAAACTTGAGAAAGCTCTAATTTCATCTTAAAAAAATTATATTTGGGGCAAAAGATGTAGGGGGCTGATTCAGGGCTCCCTTACTACCCTGGGCCAGGGTAGATGTGGTGGACGTCATACACACTCCGCTTTATTTAAAAAAAATATATAAATATAGAAAAATATAACCGCGGATGTCTGGAGGACAGTGATTCGCCTACGTGTTCTAAATGCAGGCGTACCATAAATGATAAATTACTAACAGTTTGTTTGTGCCTTCAAGTTGTTGCCCATAGGAAGACGTTACTTGGATATAACCAAACAGAATATCTTCAGAACAGCTCCAAATGACACAAAACTCATATGGATGAGTAGAACATGATGTAATAACATAAAATCAAGGCCTTTAACTTCATAATTTCTCTACCCATCTTGGATAATATTTCATTTGTATGTTCTGTATTTTAATGTTACTTTCTCCTTTCAAGTCAAAACAATGAAGAAAATTCCCTATTGATTTCAGAAAACTTTGAGAAGAGTGAGCAAGTACACAATGCAACGATTGGAAAAAATGTGACTCTCCCTTGCATCAGACGATTTCCCTTACAAAAAGATGATATTGTGGAGTGGCATAAAGGCAATGATGACATCCTTACACTAAAAGAAGAAGAGAAAAAAAAGAAATTATGTATGAATAAATTCTGTCTTGCTGCACCTCCTGGAGAATCTGGCGGAAGAAACGTGTCTCTCAACATCTCAAATGTCAATAAAACAGATGAAGGAAGTTACCGTTGCTGTATTAGTAATCAAAAACTTGAATGCATCAACCTCACTTTGAATGGTAAGTATTTAGAATTAAATTTATGCTTCTCCTAAATAACACATAAAATGTTAAACATCTATCCCATTAAATTCATATCCTGAATCTGAATGGCGTAAAGGGGACTGATACAACTCTATAATATAACACAATTTTTTTCTGTTTATACACGTTATGTTTATACATAACATGTTTGGAGTATTAGTTTCTAAACAAATACTACTGGAAAAAATGTAGAAAAAATACATTGTATATGTGTTTAACTCCACACTGGTGAAGCTAATTTCTATGTGGTATCTTAGGTCAAAGATTTTCTTATAATATGGAAAAAAAAGCTGAGGAAACTGGTTTATATCTTGTTACTTGAACGTAACGGCGTTACTAACGCTGTTACCTTTTTTAGTAACTAATTAATTAATTTGACTGTAACTAGTACGCGTTACTGAGGTCACACAATGAACCTTTTTTTCATGATAGAACTCNTTCTCAGAAGCTAGGCCCCGGGATGTTTAAGTAAAAAAGGCTAATGTTACACCAGGTACATATACAGAGTGCTCATCCAAAGTCAGGGTGTCAGCATAATCCTATCGTATTTCTATAAACAAATATATTTTTACTCCTGATATTAAAGAAGCAATAGTTGTTCACATTTGTTATTCTTTCAGCACTGAAAATGGTTTGATTGGTCTTATAAGTAAAACATTTTGTCCTTTTTCACTTATTATTCCCTAAATCTTGCTGTTGAAGTCATTTAAAATTCTTAAAGAAATAATTCTAATAAGAGTAATAACATAAAAGCTCAATTGAGAAGCTACCATGACTAACAAATAATACTGAAAAATGATGACTTGGGGGTTCACTTAATGTGTAAATAGGAAAACACATCCAGATTGTACCAAAAGTTTAACCAAATTATGTACAATATATATGCACAATTATTAGGCAAGTTGTAGTCAGCGTGCATGCCTGTAGTTATTCCAAAGGAAAATCAAATAAAGTTGCAAAAGCAATATTGTTTGAAAATAATTACAATTTAGAAATTTGAGTTGGGGCTGTGAGCAATGATTAAAAGATATTACAAAGTATATCCCAAGCTTTAGGTGTTCCCTGTAGCTATTTAAAAAATAATAACAAAGAGGAGAAAAGGCTTGCACTGGCAAGATGGACAGAGGTTTAGGTAGGATCAGCAACTTCATCTTCATGATGACAACTACTGTTGTCATCATGAAGATGAAGTTGAAGTTGTTCCTTATTCTGATTACATAAGTTATTGTCTACCCTCAGGATAGAAGGACCATTTCACTCAATAAAACAAAACGTTTTTTCTGAACAGGATAACCAACTATCCCTTTAAGGTTTCCTTAATTTTCTCTTGGTCTCATTACATATTAAACATAGATATCCAAAACTTCTGATGTGAAGTTATTTGTTGTGTGTGTTTTATAACTTTACTGGTGAAAATATAGATAATAAAGTAAACGAAGAGCAGTATACAAAGGAACCCAACAATGAGTTTGAGGGGACCTGCAGTTTGTAATTGAAGTATAGCGTCTTGAAGTGTAACTTCTTTTGTGACATCTGGTATTTGTATTAAAATGGCAACATCCTGTAACTGTATTAGGGTGCCTCTGAAACTGTCAAGGCACAGTATTTAATGCAGAAAGACAGTCAGATATCTAAAAAAATGTTGGATCTGCAGTGAGCAGCTAGGGCGTCTAAGGCAGGAACCTCTAATCTTAAAGTTCAGTCCATGCCCAAAGGATATGTAGGTAGATTTCGACCGGTCTGCTGTCAGCAAGACGTGGCAGGTGCTGCCTAGAGAGTTCCAGACACTGTAGTCCCGGAGGTCAGAAAACAAGCAGGAGATCTGGGCAGAAGAACAAAAACAAGATAACACTAAGGGCAGAGCCAAAACTGGTGTCGAGGACATACATGCTCAGGATTCAGAACCAGGAGATCAGAAGTCTGAAGAGGTTCCAAAGGTTAATCCAGGATGGTGACAGGAATCAGTTGCAAGTTCAGTAAACAGGTAGAATCCAGCATGAATCCGTCAGGCAAACAGATCAGAATGGGAACAGGCAGGCTCAGTGGGTGAGAGGAGGAACAGGTCAGGATCAGTTAATCAGAAGCACTAAGGTAATACTCTGACCACTGGCTCAAGAATAATCTGGCACTGACGACTGGTTAGAGGGCTGGTTAAATAGAGGCTGCGGCAGGTGGATAAGATGAACAGTGATGAGAAAATGGGCGGAATGAGTAATCCAGCCAGTTATCAGCCAGTTATCAGTGCCAAGATCATGACAAAAAACAGGTTAACTTCATCTGCAGTTAAAATATGTTTTTTTTTGTGTAAGCTGGAGGGATTACCACAAGCTACACAAAACAGAACCCTCAATGTACCACTATCTATTCTATTTAATATTATAATCATTGCAACATGGTCATATGAACTTAGTCTCATGCAGTTTTCTTCAACACCTGATATTTGCACTTTGCATGCAATCAAAGACATTCGCCTTTATGTATTCTCTAATCTGTGTCGATCTTTCATAACGTCAAATAAAATGATAATAAAAAAAGGAAATTTTTAATTAACTTCATCATATCTCTACCCATCTTGGATGATATCCTATTCATATTTCCTTTATTTTAATGTTACTTTCTCTTTTCAGGTCAAAACAATGAAAAAAACTGCCGAATCATTTTAAAAAACTTTAAGAAGAGTGAGCCAGTAAGAAGAAAGATTGGAGAAAATGTGACTCTCAATTGCACCAGACAAAGTAGCCTAGATAAGGATGATATTGTGGAGTGGTCTACACCCAGTGAAGAAGATTTCCTTTTTCTAAGGGAGAGGGGGAAAAATACGAACATTTGTAAGGACGGATTCTGTCTTGCTGCACCTCCTGGAAAAGACGTGTTTTTCAGCATCTCAAATGTCAGTAAAACAGATGAAGGAAGTCACTGTTGCTGTATTAAAAACCCACGAAGTGAGGTTGAATGCATCAACCTCACTTTGACTGGTAAGTATTTAGAACAAAAGATTTATGCTTCTCCTAAATAAGACATGAAATGTTTATCTATCACATAAAAATCATATCCTGAATCTGAATGACCTAAACGGGGCTGTTTCAACACTGTGATATAACACTATTCTTTTCATAAAGGTTTACCCACATGTTTGGAGTATTAGTTTCTACGCAAATTCTACTGAAAATTTTTTTGAAAAAAAAAATCATATATGTGTTTAACTCAGCAATAGTTATGCTAATTCCTATGTGGTATCTTAGGTCAAAGATTTCTCATGTTGTGAAAAAAAAGCTGAGAAAACTGTTTTATGTCTTGTTTATTTTCTCTGTTGCAATTTTTAAGCTGTTTTCGTTCATTCTCTAATCGGGCTAACACCAATCACTGAATATTTTCTACTTTAAAGATTCACTTGCAGCAATAACAACTATTAAAAATGTTGTGGTGGACTCATGATCAAAGTGTAGAGGATAGATCAGAAATAAATGTAACTTTTTCTGTTTTGTGTAAAAAAAAAAATGTATATATGTATGAAAGTTTAATTGTTGTTCCCTTTCATTTTGTTTTACAGTTTTAGAAGATGAATCCTCAACAACCCAAGGTCAGATCAGTTGGTTAGGACCGATATAGTAGTAAAGTTTTTACATATCATACTAGTTTTTTGCTAACCTTTATCGCACATTTTTTAATAAACTCAGAATATGAAAATATAAAATGTTAACATTTCAGAGATTGCTTTGTTATGTAACATCAATAATATGTCTTAATATCGTTTGTTGTTCTCCAATGTTGTTTCAAATTAGATCCAAAAGGCCGTGAGGGGAATTCAACACCTGACTCTACAGCACCCCCGATTGGTAACTGCTGTAATCTTTTAAAGAGGCTTAAAATAATCTTTACACTGTATATTGTATGTTTAATATAATTTGATGATTAAGAAAAATAAAAAAATGTCAAGTTCTTATTGACTGGCTGTAACTCAGTACATTTTTCTGTGTTTCAGATTGGAACATGATTGTTATATATATTTTAATTGCTGTATTTGGTATTATTCTCTGTGGTATTGCTTTATGGATTATCAGAAAAAAGGTAAGTATTGTACTTTAAAGTAATCATATAAAAGTAATTTAGAAGTATCTCTAGGATAATTTTACCACCCTAAAACTACAGTAAATACCTATTTCATCTAATTTTCACAGTGGTAATGTGCTAAAATACCTACAGATTAATTTCGTCTAAGTAACCTAGCACCATATTTTCCAAAGGTTTTTTTGTCTGTAAATCAGAACACAAGAGCCAGAAGGAACAGTGGACCAATTACCGTACCAGAATCAATCCCACTGAATGCACCAAAAGAACCCAGACAAAGAAGGACTACTCCTCCTGCAAGTGAAGAGGTATAAAACACTAACACTACTACTTCTGCCTCTGAACGTCTGATGGACCTGAGTGAACCAGACACCTGAGATTTTAGGAGCCCTACCAAGATTATTCGTGAAATTGGATGAATTGTTTCAAATCCCCCAAACCACAAATTTCCTTGGATTTATAACCTTGTTTTATTTTTTTTTTGTTTTTATCATGTTTGATAAAACACACAAATTAAGCTTAGGAATTTTCAAAGGAGTTTAATACAGAAACAGGAAAATGATTTTCTTTTAAAGTGTTTTGTTTTACAGGGACAATGAAATTATTGCGACATAAAATTATTGTTTTACACGTGTTTTAGTAAAACATCTTTAATTTGCAGTAAATTGAATTGGTTCATAAGTAGAAAATATATAAATTCAATTTAATGCATTTTTGAAAAGCAAAATTGTTCGTCTCATTGTGTCTTCCTATGGTCAGATTTTATCTTTTATCTTTCCAATTAAAATAAAAACGTAGTTCTTTAAAAGTAGGTTTTAGTTACAGTCTGCAAATTATTCCTCATTTTAAAATTAAAGCCTGTGCAGATAGAAACTCCAAGAGTATGGATACTGAAGATTTACTTTTTTTGTTTTGTAAAGGAAGTTTTTGATGTTGATATGAAAAACAAGCAATGTCTTTTATTTCCATAATAATAATAATAATAATAATAATAATAATAAAAGCACTACTCTTTATGAGGTATATATTTTCTTTTCATATAAATTGAGGTTTTATTGTATATTTTTCCTGATGAAGTGAGCAATTATATATTTTTTCTGGATACAATAAAATGGTGAAAGCAGCTAAGCTAATAAGTTTTCTTCCTGAAATTATTTTGAAATGGTTTGGGTCTATGTATTTTTTTTCAATATAAAGTAAATTTGGTTTGAATTGGCGGATTCAAATTATATTTTTCCGTAAATCAACTTAGAAGAGGTTTTCAGTGTTCACCAGTGTTCACATGGGGTGAGAACAGAAGGCACACAAAGTTATTTTCCTTCAACTACAGTTACTTTTGCAGACTTTAGATGTCAGCTTTACTCTTTAGCTGATGTTTAGAAACTATAAGCGGATCTAAGTACTAACCAAAGTGCTTCGAAATTCCACATCTGCAGAAGATGTTGGAGATATTTTAACCCCTTACCTGTATCCCTAAAAACTGCCAAATACGCCTTACAAAAAGCGTAGAAAACTTTATGTGATGCTTGTTTTACACTGATTAGAAGAGGTACAAAATTAAACTTTGTGTTTTTGTGAAGGCAACACATAGATTTTTTTTCACTCTGCTATCCAATTTGTTATACTGGTAACTACTGTAGTTTTTAGTAAAGGGAAATGGAACAACAGATAGATTTTGAAACACCTAGCTGGTGCAGCTTGAACACATGACCAGTAAGGGAACCCAGGTGTAAAGAAGCTTCTATAAAATCATGCAAAACTTATGTCTTTACACTTTCTGCTGGGTGTCAATGAGGACAAAAACTGAAGATGGAATTTCTCTTTAATGTTTATTGAGCTGATTGAGCAGTTATACAACATGGAAAAGATGTGGCGATTATAGAAGATGTGGTCTAAAATTACAACAGAAATAGACCTTATCAGTTTACCTGATTACCGTAATATTTTTTCAGCAATGACATCTGCTGATGTAACCTCACTTCACATGCTAATTAACTGCCAAATAGCTAATGGGAATGGCTTACCAACCAGACATCCCAAGTTCCAAAAACTGATTTCAGGGAGATTATCATCCAATCCCTGGGAGATTTCCTGGAGATTATCTTACCTCTGCAGTGTTTATAAAGTGGCGAAAAAGCTCACCAGCAGGTGGCACCCTTACTCCATTCAGGGTTCCACTCAGGTTCAAAATAACAGCACAAATAGTGCTCAACACCATTCAGCAACGTGAATAATAAGCAGGAGCCTTTCTAACACCAGGGTCATAGGGTGTTTCGGGTCTTTGACACCCTCGCCTGGGTGACCAGCATGTTCATTGCTGGGGCAAACAACACTACTGACATGGTGCAACCAGTGATAATGTCCTTCTCTAGGCAGTGCCACACAGATGCTGTTGTTCCGGAGGTGAATCTCAAGCAGAAATTACTGTAGTAGTCCCTTCTGAGTTCAGTGATCTTCTCAGGGACATGGTATGTTGTCAGAGCTTTTGACACAACCTTTTGTTGAATAGATCTGTAGGCATTGGCCTTGTCAAGCCAGAGGACTGCATGTCTCAATCATGTCTCAAATTCATAAATATTCTGCAGGGCATCAGCGTTATTTTTTTTGGTCTCTTTCTTTCCCTAGAATTGCACTGCTTAAGGTGGCTGCAAGTTGGAGTGCATCTGCAACTTTGATTCAGAGGTTCTTTTTTATGAGAACTGTGGTTTTTTGATGGATCACTTCCTTGTGGAGTGTTGGCCTAGTGGTTTGGGCAGTGCGCTTGTGCTGTCATTTCAAAATGTTGCAGAATGCCTTTTCACTCGCACACCCAAGTATGAGCAGATCTCCCCCATTTTAGCCTCATTCCAACGGCTCCCCATATATTTCAGAATTAATTTAAACATTATTTTATTTGCTTTTAAATCCCATATTGATCTTGCCCCAGTGTACCTTTCTGAGCTTCTAAATCTTTATACATCCTGAGCCAGCTTAGAACTCAGCTCAGAGGGGATCACGCTTTCGCCTTTAGAGCTCCATAGCTCCTGGCCTTGTCTGATGTGCTGACTTGCCTCAGGCCTCTTCTCTGACTATTTTTAAATCTTTTGTCAAAACAATCTTTTTTGCTTTGGTTTTTAACTCCCAGCAAGACAATGGGCTTTATTTCATTTTACTTTATGGTTTTATTTATATTATCATTTAACCAATTGTATTGATTTGATTGTGTGAATGTTATGTTTACCCATGTTTAAGCTGTTTTTGTTTTTTCATCTGTACCTTTTTTATGTTTGATTTTTTCTGTAAAACACTTCGGTTTTATCACTGCTTAACAAATAAAATGTTGGATGCTGTTCAAATAGAAGGATTTTGTTTGGTATTTTTTTCCTTTTTATTTGTTATAATGCGTAACCAGGGCTTTTTATTTCTTATTTAAACACTCCAAAGTAGGTCTCTAAAGCTAAAATAATACTTAACTAATTCAGCAAGAGCAAGCTGCATTTTAAGGGAAGCATCTAGGATGTAGAGCAGGGGCAAGGAGGGTGATTTTTCATTTATCATTATGGGCAATTTGAGATCGTGTGACAGCCAAATGTAGTTCAGCCTGGTGAGATTCACAGAGAAATGCTGCTAGAAGGAAAAGTTAGAGATTAATGAAAAAAGCTATTTGGCGCTCGGGGCCCCGGCAGAAAACTTTATTTGTATGAGCAACCTACTGTAGGAAAAGGGTTAGAGTAGCGCTTTTATTAGAAAACATGCATTTGTGCATGCAAGTGTAAGAAAATGGTTACACAAAGCAGAAGAAGCCCTGCTTGTTTTAAGTTCACAGAGAAGTATCAAAACAAGCACTGACATGAAGCTTTCTGTTGAATGATTCTAATATTTTACTGTGTACTTGATTGGTGTTTTTAGGTATTCTGTGGCCCATTAGTTCTGATGATTTAGGATGTAAAGGACTTTGAATTGCCTTGCCATTCAAATGTGCTATATAAATAAATTTTTTTTACTTAACATATTTAATTTACAGAATGTGATGCATTGTGTCTCTCACATGGAGAGGATATCAGTGCAATGACTCAGTGTGTGACGGATTACATAAACTTCTGTATAGATAACACCATCCCCAACAGAAAAGTGAAAAGGCCTCCCACACAATAAACCTTTGATCACCAGTGATTGAAAGAAACTTTTAAACAAGAGAAAAAAACCCTCAGAAAGAGAGACGGAATCAATGTGGAGTATACAGAAGCAACTTAAGGTCAAGATAAAAGAAGCAAGGNATCTGTACCTTTTTTATGTTTGATTTTTTCTGTAAAACACTTCGGTTTTATCACTGCTTAACAAATAAAATGTTGGATGCTGTTCAAATAGAAGGATTTTGTTTGGTATTTTTTTCCTTTTTATTTGTTATAATGCGTAACCAGGGCTTTTTATTTCTTATTTAAACACTCCAAAGTAGGTCTCTAAAGCTAAAATAATACTTAACTAATTCAGCAAGAGCAAGCTGCATTTTAAGGGAAGCATCTAGGATGTAGAGCAGGGGCAAGGAGGGTGATTTTTCATTTATCATTATGGGCAATTTGAGATCGTGTGACAGCCAAATGTAGTTCAGCCTGGTGAGATTCACAGAGAAATGCTGCTAGAAGGAAAAGTTAGACATTAATGAAAAAAGCTATTTGGCGCTCGGGGCCCCGGCAGAAAACTTTATTTGTATGAGCAACCTACTGTAGGAAAAGGGTTAGAGTAGCGCTTTTATTAGAAAACATGCATTTGTGCATGCAAGTGTAAGAAAATGGTTACACAAAGCAGAAGAAGCC